ACACGCTATTCCATCTCACTTCTCTCATGTATTATTAATTGGGAAGCTTTTCCTTGTGGTTGATGTATCTTTCCCCCAAATGATCTGTTGTGTGAATGTTTCATTAGGAGGGACTCTAATCTCATTTCATCACTTTGCAAGGAACCCCCCAAAGCTTCTTAGAAAGCCAAAGCTCCTTAAAGACAATTGAGGAGTTTCCTTGTGAGCACATCATTTGTGTTTATTGCAAGAGTAAATGTGATAACACATGGAGCATGAAACTCCTGTCCACCCCAGACCTGCCATGTGCTAATGCATGAACAGCCATGGAAACATTTCTTTGCACCTGCTGGTAGCAGAAGTGATGCCCTGTCTCCAGCCAAGCCTCTGCTGTCCCCAGCCAAGCCCCTGCTGTCCCCAGCCATCCTGGAGCAGAGGTGCTGCACAGACAGGGCAGCTCTCACAGCTGGAGGCTTAGCTCAGGTTTAAATGCTGGATTTGCTATTCTTTATGAGCAGGATGTGAAGGAGCTTCTCTGGGCAGCAGAGGGTTCTTTCTTCCCACCCCCTCAGCTGCTGCTTCCCCTATGCCCAGCTCAAAAACCAGCTCCTGGCCCCCTTTATTCACCCTTAGCTCTCCACTGTATTCTGACCATGTAAAAAAATTTGGTATTTCTTTTTAAGTATTTTTTTCCTGTATCTGGTTTGTTGAAACCTTCTTAGTGTGAAATTAACTTGGGAATCCCTGAACCTGATGAGGAATTGAGCTGACATCTGTAGCTCTACAGATCTGCTCTGCAGAGAGAAATCCCTAATTGGGTGTTCTTTGGGCAAGCTAAGATCTTTTTAGCTCAGTATTTCTGTGCTTTAGCATTGGATTTCACATCTCAGTGATTGTGGTTTGAGGATTGTTTCCTGATTTGGTGTGAAATAAATGAAATTCCTCTGCAGTATGTAAACTTACATATTTAATATCTTGCCTGTATGTTTGCTGCACGGTGACATGTTTGGAGAACCAAAACACACCGACCCCATCCTTTATTGCCTTCCATCCACCTCTGAGACTGTGCTCGGGAAAGAGCAGCATGAAGGTCAAAGGTCTGTGCTCAGGGAAAAGCAGCATGAAGGTGAAGCAGGTAAAGCAGCTGCTTTGTCCTTCCCACACGTGGGGAAGGATCAGAGGCTGCTGTAAATCCATTTTACTCAAGGAATCAGTGATGTGCAACAAAAATCTTGTGCTCACGGTCAATGGGTACAATGGGAATTTGGAGACTTCTATGTATTAATGAATATATTGTGTGTGTGCTGGGGGGCTGGGCAGGGCTCTTTTGTGGCAGGTACAGCGGTAGGTCTGTTTTAACAGAAATAATTTTAATTGTAAGCTTGTCCCCTGTGTGTATGGGTGGGTGACAGTTCCTGGAGCTCAGGGGAGCCTGGGCTGGGATGAGCACAGAGGGAGCTGCCATGGGAGGCACCTGGAGTTTTGTCACTCAGGAGGGGTTGGTTCAGTTGTTGGGTCTGTCACACACATGGCCACGGCCTTGGATTGATGGGCTGAGCTGTGAAACTGCTCCTCTCTGTGAAATGAGGGCTCCCAGGCTTTGAATTTCCCTCTCCTGCCTGCTGTGGGTGAGGTCTCAGCCCCCAGAGCCCCATGGGGGGAATCACTGCTCTGAGAGCTGTACTTCACGTGGCATAGGCTGAACTGGAGCTCTATTAATACCAAGATAAACAGAATTGAAATTCAGTTTGACCTTCTGTGGCAGCTGTGACAAAGCGTGGCGTGTTTGAAGTCTGGATACAATTATTTGGAATTGCTAAACAGCACATTTCAATCATGACCTTTAGCTGGCACCGAGGCCAGAGGAGGGCCCTGATTTTAACTTCTGAACTGCAAATCACCCCGTTGGAAAGAGACTTCAGAAGCCATTATAATCACAGGGAATGTTTGAAAGGGTGTGGAAGCTATAAGCAAAATATTTATTTTACACACTTGTCTGCATTTAAGCCATAAATCTTTCTACTATGAGAGTGTTTTACTGGTGTAGAGAAGACAAGTAAGCTGAGATCATAGCAGACATGTCCTATAAGGCTTTACTGAAAATCATTGCTTTTTAATCCCTTTATCCCTGTTATTTCCTACCACTGTGAAAATCCAGCGGCAGGGAAAGCTGGCACAGTGTAGGACAGATGCATAATGTGCAATGCTAAGCAGGCAAAAATCCCTCTGTTTGTCTAATGCTCCAAACACATTAGAAATGTCAATGTTACTGCTGGGTGTCCTACATAAACACAAATAAATTATCAATATTCAGCTGAGTATTGCAAACCTTGTTGGATGTGGTCTTTTGATACCAATGAATAATCTTCTAATTAGTCAGAGGAAAATAAATCTTCTAATTAGTCAGAGGAAAATGTCCCTGCTCATGGCAGGGGGGTGGAATGAGATGATCTGAAAGGTCCAACCCATGATAATTAAAATCACCCAGAAAAGTTGACCTGGATTGTTTCTGTGAAGAGCAGGTACCACATGAGTGGCATAAAACCGAATTGTGTACTTCAGGTGTACAGCACCCGCTCTCACATCTTTGTATGGTTCAGGCTGCAAATTGCTAATTAACATGTGCACAGCCTCTTCCCCCTGTTATTGACCATGGAGGACAAAGCCTTGGAGCCTCCTCTTCCTCTCTCACCCTGCTAATGCTCTCTGTGATTTCCTGACAGCTTGGCCAGAGCAGCTCCAGCCTGGAGCACAGCTCTTCCAAAAGGGCAGCTGGAGGGACACAACCCCAACTGGATAAATTAGAATTTATCTGAGCTTTTAATCTAGGGCAAGAAGAACATATGGAGTGTTGTGGCAGAGTCAATTTAAGATTTTGACAACAAAAATACAGGTTCTTTCAGTCATAATAATTTAAAACAATGGTTCATTTTTGTGCTGCTCCTGACATAGAAACTGTGAGAGACAGACAGGTTCTGGGGCTGTTCTCATCCCGCTTTAAAAACAGGGGCCTTAGGAAAGGCCTTTGTACCCAACCAATAAACAGATTTCCAATTATTTTACTAAATAAATACAAGGATTCTGTAAAAGCAGCTGAAACTCTTGATTTTTTTCCATGTTTTTTTTCCATGAGGTAAAACCAGTCAAAGGGAATATGCTGTGTTCAGATGCTGTTCCAGGAATGAATGCAGAGCAGGGCTGTGAATCCTGGAGCAGAGGAGCCCCGAGCCCCCTGTGCCCCTGGCTGTCCTCAGCTTCCTACAGCCCCTCCTGCTCCAGCTTTTCCTGAAGTTTTTATTCCAAGGGATAGAGACACTTTACAGTCCATCAGTGATGGTTATGTTGTGTTTCAGCATCCCACCATCCCCATCCGTGGCAGAGGCTGATACTGGATCATGGAATGGTTTGGGTTGGGAGGGACCTTAAAAACCATCTCATTCCACCCCCTGGCATGGCAGGGACACCTTCCACCATCCCAGGGTGCTCCAAGCCCTGTCCAGCCTGGCCTTGGACACTTCCAAGCATAGAGCAACTTCTCTGGGCACCTGCTCTATGGAGAACTAACTCTTCAGAGCAGGAAATGTATTTTGCCAACTTCAGAAGTTTGTGGCAGGGCTGAGAGCTGAACCCATAGATTTGGAGTCACCAATCCAAGCCTGGTTGATCACCCAACACTGGGAGTCATCAAAATGCACTTAAAGGGTTTTTTATGTGTGGGATGGAGCTGTGGCCATGTGCTGTCGATGCTTGTGGGGGTGGCTGAGCAGAGCTGCCTCCCCCTGGCCTTGGCTGCCTGTGGCTTCCACATGGGACCCCCGAGGCCAGAGGAGGCTGCTGGCCAAGGACCCTAAAAGCCTCATAACTCAGGAAACTGGACTGGACAGAACGCACATCCAACCAATATGATTAATGCAATGTTTATTCGAGAGAAGATGGCAGTTTATATACACTTCCACATAGTTTACAGTTTACAAAGGCACTCTCATTGGCAAGTAACATTGTTTGTCTTTGTCTTAAGGTGGCCTAAGCCTCACACTAGAAACCTAAACTGCTTCACACCCAGACAGCCCAGTGCTCCCCATCACACCTTAATACAATTTCTAACTGCGCCACAAACTCTTAATTTCTAATTGTGCCACAAAATCTTAATTTCTAACTGCGCCACAAACTTAATTTCTAACTGCACCACAAACTCTTAATTTCTAACTGTGCTACAAACTTAATTTCTAACTGTGCCACAAACTCTGAATTTCTAACTGCGTCACAGGCTGAAAGGCCTCACAAGGCCCAAATCTGAGGCCTTGGCTGGAGTAGATCAAATCTTATTCCAATCATAAATCATGACCTCTGTCTCTCAGAAATGCTGCAACAGCTTAATAATAAGGGAAATAAAAAAAAAAAAAACAAACCTTTATTAGGCTACTACTATTATACTACTATAAAAGAAAAAAAGAAAGAAAAATACATACAAAATCTAAAATGAAAATCTTTTAAAATATTCCTCTTCCTACTACTCAACTCTAACAAATTATAGTGAGACACGACTTGGACTCTTAATTAAGTATTTACTTTTTAATATAATTAATAAGAAGATTCGTTTTCCAGTGTCAAACCACGACACAGGGGCTTGTCAAAATCCTACACCAAACCCCTCTACTGTCCTGGAGCTCCATGAAGGGAGCCAGCAGGAGCCTGGTTGTGCATGAGGAATGCCAGAGCACAGGCCAAGGTGAAACCCAACAGAAAGGTAAAATATCAGTGAGTTTCTTGTGTATTTGAAAGCATTTACTAGAACTTAACAGGGCGTTATCCCTCGCTGAGGAATGATAAGATGGCTGAAAGAGCAGTTTCTATACACCCTGCTCCTATAAAATTGAATTGGTTTCATATATACTAAATTTTAAAGGCATTTTAGACTTATGGATTTATTAAAAAAAAAAAAAAAAAAAAAAGGTTTATTCTTGATGTCCTGAGCACATTATTGCAGTAACCTCACTGCTGGACCACAGCTTTGGCACAACACACACATCCATAATGAGGGACTGCCTGTTCCAGGGAGGTTTTATTACAAAAGAAAGTGCACAAGTATATTAGGAAGAGGGGGGAAAACAGAGAAGTCTATTTTTTTTGGCAAAGCCTTGTATTATAGATCTCATTTCTCTGGTTGCAGCTGCCTTTAGGCACCCATTTCAGTGAGCTGCTCTGTTCTGCTTAACTGTAGATGCTTCCCAAATTTCCTCTTTGGTGAAACAAGCATTTGTGCAGGTTCCCCATAAAAATGACTGATTTGGGTTTTACCAGGAGCTCTGGCACTTCTCCACTACAAGAAAGAATTGCATTTATAGAGAGGTTTATCAAGATGGGAATAGTGAAACAAACATTTTAAATGTCCAGCAGAATCCTCTGTCTTCCCCCAAACAAGCCTCCCTGGGCAGGAATTTCAGCCATTCTGGAATGAAAGCCTCCTGGAAGGAACCTGCTTCCCTGTGGGACTGCCCAGCTTTCAGCCCTGCTGCTGGGGGAAGGTAAGAGAGCTCTGTTTTCATTTACTATTTATGAGATGTGCGTTCCTATTGCCAAGTGACCACAGCATTCGGTGCTTTTAAGAATCTGCAAATGAGATGAAGCTCATTATTTTTTAATGTGAAAGGGATTATTGCAATGGGAGTGCAGGGATGTGTAACCTCAGAGATGGCTCTTGCTGGGGGATAGATTTTGAGGCTTTTGCTTTAGGAAGTCAATAAAGAACACAGAGTATTTCCCAGTCATTCTGCTTAGCATCTAAAAGCAGTATTTATTAGGAATACCACTAAAAAGGGTATTTTTTTTAATTTCAGACTGGGACTTGTAGGAAATTGCCCTCCTCGTGTGTGTGTTTTATTGTGCAGCGTTGAGAGAAATGTAGGGGCACGTTTCCAAAATAAATCTTTTCCTTAATAAGCAAAAATCCCTCATTATCCATTCCTGCCCCCACCCATCAGAGCTGATCTCAGGGTCTTGAGGGACAGCAAAGGCTGGAGGCACAAATGCAGCTTTCCCTCAGATTTTGGGGTGCAGGGCTGCCCTGAGCCCCTGCCCCAGCTCTCTCTGCAGGTCACACACAAGATTTGTGCATCACCTGAGGACTTTTCAGATGCAAAGGCACTGCAGGAGAGGGCACCTGACTGAACAACACATCCGAGGCAGCTCAAGCTATGGCAGAAAAGAGCAAATTTAAGGGAAATATCAGAACTTTGCTGCGTGTGGGAAGGATCAAGGGGCACTGAGCAACTGCTGAGCACTTTTTGGCTGCCTGGGAGTCTCATCCCTGCTCCCCAGCAGCCGGGGATGTGCAGGGAGCTGGCACAGGCCACTGTGCCCAGCACAGCCACTGCTGCCCTCCAGGACAGCAAGGCAGCATTTAGCAGAACATCCCTGGGGATTTGCTGCCCAGCTGCCAGGGAACAGCACTCAGGTGCCTTTTAAGACCCCCAGACTAATTTCCTTCCCCGTGTTCCTGCTCTGCTGAGCTCATGCTCCACAAACGCAGTAATTGCAGGCATTTGTTTTGAGCCACACGAGCCTGAGCTCCAGAGCGAGTTTTATTTACTGCAATTATATCTGGCAGGTAATTTCTAGTAAACCTAGGGAAATGATTAACCTCCCACTAAATTCATGAACAGAAAAATAGGGCAAATTGATCAAATAAGCTGTTTCCTACCTAATAAAAAAAATATTACAAATATAACATCCTGGAACAGAAATAGCTCTGATGAAACCATAAAGACAAGCAGGAACCTGCTAGAGGCAGCTGTGCAGAGTTTTAAAAATTCTACCTTATCTCCCAACCATGAGTTTTTATTATTTTACCCATTGCTGGTGGTGGAGCTGCTTCAGCTGTGCCTATACCTTGTGTCACAGATGAGTGACTCTTTGCCTAAAGAATCATAGGCAAAGGTATTAGCAGAAGGGGATTTAATTTAAATTTGTCAGAGTGTGATTGGGCAAAGTTTGATGGCAAGTTTTACTCTTACTCATTACGCATGGATGAATTCTGCAAAGGAAAATGGAGTTAAAATTGATTTCAAGTGATTTACACAGAGAGTAAAGAGCCAAAAGGGTCAGGGAGACCCTCCTGTTGAGTCATGAGGTGTAAAGTGGAATTTCTTCCTCATTTGGGTTTGGATAAGAGGCAAAGACAGCCTGGGATGTGAGAGCATCCCTGTGGACAGGTTGCAGAATGCTGGAAGCAGACCTGGCTGCTGTTGAGTTCCACAGGAATGTCTGTGTGCATTCCCTCCCCAGGGAGAGCTTGAGAACCACCCCAGGGCAGTGGCTGAAGAATGCCCAGAATTGCCATTTTCCAGCTCAAAGCTCTGCCCTGTGATCTCATGCACTTTAAAATTCCTTATCCATCTCCACCTGGGGCTGAGGCAGCTTTGTCCCAGCCTGGCTTGGGACACACAGCAGCAAATGGCAGATGAGGAAGAGTTGCTTGTCACTCGTGGAAAAGGAGTTCTCAGCCTCATCCGTGGTGCTCCCCAGACTCCAGACAGAGAATAATGTCACTCTGAGGCCCAGATTTTCCTCCTCCTTTGGCATGATGGTAACCAGGAGTGACAGGCTGGGAGCTGGAGATGATCCATCATGGGACACCACTGTCCTTCTCCCATGCACTGCTGGCCAGGCTGGGCACAGAGGGGTTCCAGCCGCTTGAGGTGGGGAAAACCAGGAGATTTGTCATTTGGGGAGGGCTCTGCCTGTTCTCCAGGGCTGCTGCGTTTGCCCTGCCCACCCAGCCTCAGCCTTGGTGGGTACAACGTGGGCACAAAGTGATGGGTAAATGGCAGCAGGGGATTTCCAGCCTGGCAAGGTGCAGGTTTGAGGGGTTCTTTCTCCTCCGTGTCCTCTCCCAGGCACAGGTTCCTCTCTGATCCTGACTGATGGTTGATCCCATTGGGATGGGATGGGATGGGATGGGATGGGATGGGATGGGATGGGATGGGATGGGATGGGATGGGATGGGATGGGATGGGATGGGATGGGATGGGATGGGATGGGATGGGATGGGATGGCCAGCAGGGACAGGGGTGGCTGTGTGTCAGAACCCAGCACATCCCTCTGGCTGCCCTGGCTGGCTCCAGACCCTGACAGGGGCTCAGAGACCCTGGCACAAAGTCACAAACACCTGTGGCTTCCATTTTAGCCTGTGGAGAAAACTGCCAACTCTGTGTGAGGAATTACAAACCACAAGAGTTTGAGTAGTGTGATGTTTGAATTAACACAGTGTGAAAAAGTAGAATTTTGGGGTTTTTTAGAATGGAGTTCAAACGGACAAGGTGGAGGGATTTGGGCATGTCCTGACCTTCTTCTCCTTCTCCTTGCCCTCCATGCCTTGCTGTGCTGGTGACACTTTTCTGTTGGTTTAAGGCACAGACACACTGCCCAACAGAAATGACAGATATTGGCACGTTATTGCAAACATGGCACAGGCAGTTTTTGGTATAAAATGCAAACACCGCCCTGAGGGCAGACAGAATGCCATGGCCGAGCTGCTGGCCAGAGCTCAGCAGGGCAGAGAGAGAATGTTCTGGAGAAGGGAAAATAAACAGCCTTGAGAAGCTGATCCTGCACACTCAGACTGCTCCTTTGGCTGCAGGGCTGGAGAAGGAGGATTTTACACTCCTGGGGTCAGCCCAACACCCAGACCCCGAGAGAGCTGTCCCTGTGGGGCTGCCCAGGGGGACAGGGGCTGGGACATGGGGAGGGGGCTGTGCTGGCCCCTCATGGCACCACAGGGACAGCCAAGTGACCACTGCTCTCCTCAGCTTCATGCTGAGGGCAGTCACATCCCACAGGACGCCTGCCACTGCTCCTGGTGCCTCTGGGAAGGGGAAGCAGCTGGGTTTGATTTCCAGGGACACCCCTGGCACAATACTGACCTGTCAACGTTGCTGTCAAGAGCTGAGCTGCTCCTTCCTTAGGCACTGAAAGAAATTGGGCTTGAGGTTCAGGTGGGATAGCAGGAAAAAAATTCTTCACTGGAAGAGTGGCTGAGCATTGGAATGGGCTGCACGGGGCAGGGCTGGAATCACCTCACTGGAAGTGTGCAAAAAGTAGATGCAGATCTTTGAGATGTGGTGTGAGGGTTGGATTTGATGATCTTGAAGGTCTTTTTAATCCTTAATGATTCTGTGGCCTTGGGTGATAAATACCACACTGAAGGAAGCTTCCAGAACCTCCACTTTAAATCTGTCTTTTATGACCTTTAGGTACATTCCCTATTTCCCAGTATTTCCACATCATACAGAGTTGTTCTATTTGTATCTCTTCCCTCTCTTCCTTTTGAATGCTTGACCAAATTCATGATGAAATAAATTCTGTGTATATTGCTAAAGTTTATTCTGCTGCTGAAACATGGCACAGAAATCTTTTGTCTGTCCTGAAACTTCAGACAAATCTTTGCTTCTTTTAAAATAACCTTTGAAATGTTTTTCATCCAAACGAGTGAAATAGCAAGAATAATAGATGTTGTAGGATTTGTAGCCACTATAGTTTCCTGCTTCTCCAAATGCTTTTGGAAATGCTGATTGATTTGTAACAAAGCTTGAAATGTCACCAGGAGGAATGAATGAAAAATACACTGCTCTAATGTATGTAGAAGTTGAAATTGGCTCAAAGTTTTAACCTTTAGAGGTGCTTTTTTCCTTTTCTACCCTTTTTTAACTGTTCACAGCAGTCAAGGAGTTGGAAAGATAACCAGGAACAAAATGCACATAGAGGAAATGAATAAATTATGCTCTTATTTTTGGCACATTTACAAGAGAGACATTTTAAAACTCCACTTCAGTGACAAAAGAAAGGATTGCTCTACTTAAAATAAAGCCTGTTCCCTCTGCTACAGAGGGATGCTGTGCTGGGGAGGTCTGATGGATCCCTGGCTTGATTCTGAAGGTCCTTGAGAGGGGTAAGAAAGCCTGACTGTGCCCACAAACACCCCAAAGCCTGCAGGAAGGGGCTGTGCTGGGGCAGGAGGGGATCATTCCTGCCTTGGCCAGGGGTGGGAATGTGCTGGGAGAGCAGGAGCCACGTCCAGGCAGTGTTTGCTGGCTGGACTGGCAGGCTGGACTGGTGTCGGTGAGCTGGGCTGTGTTTGGGCAGAATTGGCAGTAATTGGAACTGCAGAATGAGGGAAACATGGTTTGAAACCCACCCAATTTCAGATCCAGCAAGATGACCCTTCAGAGATGTTGAGGTTGCTCCAGGGCCACCAGCTCGTCTGTGTTTTGTCCCTGTCGCAGTGCTCAGCGTTTGTCACTCAGGTTAAAAATGTCTGGTGCTTTCCAGGGTTTGCTGCTTTTCTTCTTCCTGATGAATTTACTCTCTGGAGTAGAAAACATGATAGCAAAAGCCTCGGGACCTGCCTCGCTGCAGTCAGTCAGGGCTGGGAGATGTGCAGCAGCTGGAGCTGCAGTGCTGGGAGCATGGGATTCCTTGGGCTTCCCTCTCCCCACTTCCCCCTCAGTAACCACTGATTTTGGGGAGT